CCTGTAATCCCAGCTACTCAGGAGGCTGAGGTGGGAGAATCACTTGAACCCAGGAGCCAGAAGTTGCAGTGAGCTGAGATCACGCCACTGCACTCCAGCCTGAGCGACAGAGTGACCTGTCTCAAAAAAATGTAAAAAATAAAAATTAAAAAATGTTCAGACAATAACCCTGAAAGTGACAAAGGAAAACGTTAGGACAGTGTTCTTAGCAACAAGGTTTCATAGCAACCCAAAGAATGTCATGAAAAATGGGATTTAACCTCATCCTAATCATAAATCCTGTCTGTGGAAGGGAATCTACAGACCCTCCAGTGATTCCAGCTTCTTATTTTAAGGTTGAGGGGACTGAGGCTCTAGGAGGGAATGACAAGGTCACAGTCCTACAATCAGGGGGCAGAACAGGGAGAACACAGTGCCTCTGCTAACTAGTGTTGTCACTTACCCTGTAGTGTAAGGATCTTCGGCCAAGGGCAGTTTTACGATTGGTTTTTGAGCTGAATCTACTTAATACAGGTGGTGGTCCATCTTGGACTCTCTTGTGTTGCCTCACACATGCTCTCTGTACACAGAGAGAGCCGAACACACTTTAAAGTGGCTGGTTGTTGAGAAGGTGCCTTGTAGATCCCAGTTCCTGGCTTTGGACCACACTCAGCTCAGTCTCCTTTGGGTGGCATTCCCTCCTCCACTGTCTCTCAGTCAGTGTAGCCATACCCGTGCCAGGACTCAATGGAGTGAGAGGGACCATGTCAGGGAAGGATGCAAGAGTGTCCCGAAATGAAAATGGCTGGGAACCCCCTCAAAGCGTTCTTTCAGTGGGTCTGTGCTCTGCGCTCCTGCTGTTGACATCTGCTCCTTTGCAGCTGCCGAGGAGGTGCTGTGCTCCTGAATTGTGGTCATCAAGAATCCTGGCTGGACACCAGTTATCCTCTGTCTCGTTAAAATTATGGCAGGAGGACCAGGGAGTCACATTCGTGTTAGGAACCCCAAAAGGGAGGGTCTTCAGAGGTTGCTGCCACGTAGGAAGGTCGCGTTGTGCTTTGCTTCCCTGAGTGCCAAAAAAGCGTGCCTTTCCGTCATGCCGAACGGAAGGGGCTATAACGCCAACGCAAAACCCAGAGTGCTCTGCCAATGTTTAAATAACCAAATCGAAGGTATCAGGGCCACTTTCAGGGGTTCCTATTGTTTCCTCCTCCTAATTAGGATTTGCCAGGCTCCCCTTCTCCTTCATCCTATTACTTAATACATCTGTACCCTGCTACTGCCTTGTTCTGTTCTGAATGTAAACCCTCAGTAGGATTACTCAGGGGAGGTTGTAGCAGTTTCTTAGTTAACAGGCAATGAAGAATCCCTCTGCACAGTGATCCATGAACAAGATGGGGAATGATAACTATTTTTATTATTTCTCCCACATGTTCTTTTTACTTTTTTGACAGCTAATCATTCAGCATCTACCATGTGCCATGCACTTGGGATAAACATAGAGCCAGCCCTGGGCCTGTTCCAGCATAGCCCACAAAGACAGGCAGCTTCAGTACCTCTGTCTCCTGTGCCTGTCCTGGAAATGTGCTGTCATTCGGTGATTAGTCTGGCAGAGTGTTTACTCTGGAAGTCTAATGCGTAGCACTGTGGTGGTGCGGGTAGAGCATCACATGACTTCCATGACACAGGGGCTTCTCTCCTTGAAGCTGTCTCTAGTGTAGGCGCTTCAGTCTGTTCTGAGGCCCTTTCCTGATGTATAAGCACAGAGGATGTCAGAGTGCGGAGAGCTTCATGTACAGACCAGACACCTGAGGGGGCATCATAGAGGAGTCATAGCATTAAGCACAAGATTAGATAACATGCTTTCTAAGATACTGCCCCCTTTTTGTTTTTTGAGATAGAGTCTCCCTCTGTTGCCCTGTTGCCCAGGCTGGAGTGCAATGGCATGCTCTCAGATCACTGCAACCTGCGCCTCCCGGGTTCAAGCAATTTCCGGCTAATTTTTGTATTTTTAGTAGAAATGGGGTTTTATCATGTTGGCCAGGCTGGTCTTGAACTCCTGATCTCAAGTGATCCACCCACCTCGGCCTCCCAAAGTGCTAGGATTACAGGCGTGAGCCACCGTGCCTGGTGGAATACTGCCCAATTCTTAATGTTTCTCTGATTCTAAAAGAGTTAGATCTGAGGAAGGTGCTCCTAGTTAGCCATTAAAAGCCATTCAGCATGGTCCAGTATATGGGACACTAGCCTTCAGTAGGCTGCGTTTGTTTCTCCCAGTGTCCCATGGCCCTGTCTCCCTGCATGGAAGCCTTCCTTTTTCCAGGAGATAGGCAGGAGAGGTCCAGCCTTTCTCTTGGCTATAGCTGTTGGGGAGGGGGATGAACTGGGCAAGCACTTGGATTTTTTGAGAATCTGTTTCCCCTGAGCTCTTTTCTCTGCTGCTCCCTTTTATCCCCACCGTCGGCATTTAGGAGCTGGAGCAGATTTTGTCATGCTGGGAGGAATGTTTTCAGGTCATACGGAGTGTGCTGGAGAAGTGATTGAGAGGAACGGACGGAAGCTCAAACTGTTCTACGGGATGAGCTCTGACACGGCCATGAAGAAGCACGCAGGAGGAGTTGCTGAGTACAGGTGAGGAAGTGGCCC